AAAGAGAGGGTATTTAACCTCTGTCTTCTAAGACTCCAGATTATCTCAAAATAAAGGAGTTACATTTTAGTTTTAATCAGAGATTTGAGAAAATGTTGGTAAAAATTTAGTTTTACAAAAAAGTAATGTGGAGAGATGCAGAATTCATTAGGTTATGTTAAAGAAACCAGTATGACTTAATTCTCCCTAGACTTTATGAACAATCTTTATTAACAGAAAACAAACTTATTATCCAAAGTGATAACACTATCAAATAAATACATATAAAAATCTGCTGCCATTAACTATAATTTTAACATTTTATTGCATTTACAATGTATAGAACATTATAAGGATTTACAGTAGAGGCAAAATATCCCAGCCCTTAAAAGTTGAATAGGAAAGACTGGATGAACCATACATAAATATCTTTGAACATGAGCATTGGAAACATAAATATTATGATTTTATAGGCATATACAAGTAACTGTTTTATGTAATAGAACAGGAGAGGATAAAACACAATGGATAAGTCACTAGGGTGTGAAATAACTGTAGCTGGGTGGTACAGAATAAAAAGACAACGCTAAAATAGGATTTGTAAATGCTAAAACGCCCTGCAAAAACATAGCTATCCCCTATGCACAACCATGAGGTAGAATTCTTCCCAGCCAGTTTTCGGGTTTCTTGACTGCCATTTGGGGGTCTAGATGGTTCTCTCTCACATTGCTGTACCTGGGACTGACAATATATGTTTTTTTTATTACCCACTCTGCTTCCATTAAACAGAAATAATCTTTTCTGTTCAATTATCAATTTTATTTTACCTACTGAAGATGGGTGGCAAGTTAGTAGCATAAACAAATCAGTACTGTTTCTTCTAGCTAACGTATCACCATACTTGGGTAAATGCTTTAATCTTTCAAAGAGTGAAACTGATGCTAAAATTTCAGGTACACGAACCCCTTGGGGACTGTTTTGGGCAGACAGGTCTTTGCTTTCCTCAAAAACACTAATTGCAAAACCAGGAACAATGTCAATTCTATCTGAAAACAACTTCTAGTATTTCAAATATGGATCATAAAAAAAAAAGTTTACATCTTTCTACACATCCAAAAATATAGTGAAAATCCAACACACAGTACAACCACATTGGGGAAAGGTATGGCCATTTCTTTTTAAACTACCCAATGACACAGAAATTCTAATCCTAGGTATGCACCCAAGAGAAATGAAAGCTTGTGTTCACATTAGACTTATGTTAACAATGTCATAGCAGCTTTATTTATAGCTGCCACTATTGGAGACAGCCCTGGTATTCATAATCAGGAAAATGGATAAACTGCACTGTAGTCATACAATGGAGTACTACTCAGCAATAAAACTGAAATGAACTACCAATACACCAAACAACATGGATAAATCTCTCAAACATGGTACTTCTAGAAAGAGTACATGCTGTGTGATTCTATTTACACAAAGATCTAGAACAAATTTGGTTTGTGATAGAAAAAGAACAGTGGTGCCTTTGTGGAGTGGGGTGGAAAGGGCCATGTATGAATTTTCTGATAATGCTTTATATTTTGATAGCACTGTATTAGATTTGCCAAAACTCAGTGGATGCACACTTAAGATTTATGCATTTCGTCGTGTCCTAATTTTACATAAGAAAGCATAAGCAAATGTTGAATAATGATGTGGTATGTGGAAGTAGTATGAAGTGTATAGATGTCTGAAAGTTATAATGCATCAAAAGGTGATCTGAATTGGATGGACAGATATGTGACAATACAAGCATAATTAATGTGAACTAGCATCTGAATGGTGAGTGCACTATAAAATTCTAACTTTTATGTTTGAAAATTTTTTATAATAAACTGTTGGGGAAAAAATCCAGGGTACAAGCTTACCAAAAAATGCTGCTGAAAATTTTCATTATTGATCCCATGTTAATATAACCATCAAATTCTTCCAATCAGTGTCAATTTAGAAACGTAACAGCTTGTGAAAGGACATTCCAGAGTGTGAGGTGAGTAATGAGTTCTCAAATCTATGCTGGTTCAAAAACAATATACATATACATTTTCATACATTCTAAGCAAATTTGTTCACTGTGTAGACTAACATAAGAACTAAGATGAAGAAACATTCTCAAGAGAAAAGTCAAGCTTAGAAATTGTTTTTACCATGATTTCTGAACTAAAAAAGAACCAGGGTAATTATCAGAAAAGACATGTAGACCCAAAACATGATGTGAGGCTTTGTCTTAGTGAACAGGCCTCTATGTTCTGAGTGAAAGGACATCCGAATCATCCTCCTGTCTCTCTGAGGGACAATTGGGGGACACCCTAGAGAGATGGCATTTTACTTGTAAATACTTCTAAGGTGCTTCTTTCAGATTCACTAAGAATGGATTCAGACTTCAATAGCCCTTTTTCAGAAATAGTTTTTCACAGTCCTGACTAAAAATCCACTAACAACACTATTCTTACCTCGAAGTTGGTAACTATTTTTAGTTATCTGCTAAAAATTCCTGTATCATTATACACAGGTATCAGATGTACTGCTCCGTAAGAGTCCTCTAACAAAACTCATCTTGATTATGTAATATTAGTCATGTTACAGTATCGTATCTGTGAACTTTCTTCATTCTTAATCATTTCCCTATTGTGCTCTCAGAGGATCCTTAGTTCTATCAATCTCTGTTACAGCCTTTTTCTATTCTTATCACTGCTAAAGCTTATCAAGCTTTCTCTTCTCTAACCCTAACAGAACTAAGGGTGGTCTCAAGTCATGTTTTCTACCTCATTATTGGGATACTTTATAAATATAAATATATTAACAGGTCTGTGCTCTGGTTGTTTCTATAGATTGGTGCTGGGTCAGTAGGATCCACTCCAGGTAGGATTTTCCTTTACTTATTTATTAATGGAATTGTGTCATGTCCTGTCAACCTCAAAGGAGGTGACACTCTTCACTTTTCTTGCTTCTTGCTGCTCTACCACACTGCCATAGAGAGTTAATCTGTCAGATTTAAAAGTCTTGTTATTTAACCATGAGCTCATCCACCCTTAGTATTTTCAGTAAGCAATTCTGAATGTCAGGGAAATAGAGCTTAGGGTAGTGAGCATAAACAATGTGCTATTTCCACATGACCCCATGCTTGTCATCTGAGGCAAAAGCAGAATTAAAGAATGCCCTATTTTCTATTCTGGAAAGATGATTATACTAATAATAATTTCCATTTTGGATAACATTTTAGCTTTCAAAATATTTTTTAAACATGATTGTATTTCACTCTTGATATTATTTGATATGATGTCTGTAATTTACAGATACAGGGAAGAAGTTTAGTGGTTTTTACCAAGGTCAGTAAATGGCAAAGCTAGATTTTTAAGTCAAGTAGTCAACTCAACTCTTTGCATTATATTCACTCTATTACTTAGCATTTATGATCTTGCCATCATTTATACTTATTAGCAAAAACTACTTTCCAGTAGCACATACTGAAGTCAAATAATGTCATGTTAAATCTGTACTTCATTTTGCCTTATCAAGTTATTGGTTACCCTACAGAAGAGTACTTCCACTCCCAACTGAAGCTTTTTATTTTTAGAACTGAAAGTTAACACTGGTAAGCTTGTTAATTAGGTTAACTGTATTCAGCTATGTTTTAGCCCACCTTTTTAATCCTAGAGAAATTTCCCTTTGGGGGAGGGTTTAAGCCAGCGGTTCTCAACCTGTGGGTCACGGCCCCTTTGGGGGTGGAACGACCCTTCACAGGGGTCGCCTAAGATCATCTTGCATATCAGATATTTACATTGTGATTCATAACAGTAGCAACATTACAGTTATGAAGTAGCAACGAAAATAATTTTATGGTTGGGTCAAACATGAGGAACTGTATTTAAAGGGCCAGAAGGTTGAGAACAACTGGTTTAAGCAAAGGTATCCCAATCATGTTAATATTGTCATTGATGATATTTACTGATGTTAAATTCCTGTACCTTTTTTTGTTTTTAATCCTCACCTGAGGATATTTTTCCACTGATGTCTAGAGAGTGGGAGGAGAGGGAGAGAGAGAAAAGAAAAATATTGATGTGAGAGAGACACATCCATTGGTTGCCTCCGGAGCCAGGGATCCAGCCTGCAACCGTATATGCCCTTGACCCGGAATTGAACCCGAGACCCTTCTGTCCCATGGCCAACACTCTACCCACTGAGAAAACTGGCTAGGGTTGTACCATTTTTAATAAGTTCAAGATATGGAGGAGTTTAACAACCATAGTACATAGTAATATCTATCCAATCTCTCTGGCAAGGAACTTACTAAAATGTAGTCAAGAACTCTTTATTTTCTCCAAAAGTAGACTGTATAGTGAGATAGGTTCGGCTAATCTCACAATCATGCCATTGGTTACAATGGGCTTCTATCAGAAAGTATGGTTTGCTCAGCACTACCATAAAATTGTCATGTTCATATTAAGCAGTATGCCACTAACTAAATAACAAACTAAATAGCACACCATATGTCAACTGATCAGGTGATGAGACAAACAACAAACACATTAATCCTAGGTAATACTTGCAAACACTGGCCAATTTAAATGCCTATAAAGTGAGAGATGTATCCAGTCTTCTCCACAGCAATGAATCCTAGACCTAAAATCAACATCCTAGCTGGCAGGCTGAACAGTTTCATCCCGTGTCACCAATGTCACCCTAGCAGAATAAGGTCATCAACAATGAGGCCTGGGGACAAAACCAGTTTTATCTGAGATGAAATTAATCATCTTTGCATTATAGCACTGCTAGGCTAGACATGTGTAAATAAATGCCCAAACTACCAATACTGAATTTACACAGGAGCAAATAAATACATGGTAAGAAGGAAAAACAAATCCCCCAAATCAAACCAAACCAAACTAAAACTAGCCCAATTAACACTTCAAGAAGTCCCTGAGATGGGCTAAAGTAATGGAAAGTTGTGGCATATACCAATTAGAAACGATGGTTCGTTTTCCATTTGCCAGCCAATGCTAATTTATTACATACAAAAAGCTTGCGATTTCAAAGACTGCAGTTACTTCCTTCACATGTACCCTAAATGAACTATGAAAAAAATCACATTAGGGCATTGTTGGGTTTTCATTCATAACGGTATGTGTATATACAGATTGACATATAGAAAGCAGCAAATTTACAAATGAAGAGCAACAATATTTATTATGTTACAAGCGCATTCAGCTTCATCTAAAATACTCAAATTACAAATAACATTTCTAGATACTGCCTTACTTTACTTTTGTTGTAATCAGGATAGCTTAAGGCATATAAAAATTAACTCATTTGATAAGCAGGTGAGTTGATGGTAGAAGTGAGTGTCTCATTACTTACAATCCAGTCCTTTTCTAGCAGTCTTAATAAAAACATTCAAACTACTCCAAAATTCAGAAGAAATAGATATTAGGTGTAACCAAATATCTAAATTAGCTAATATCAACATATCTAAAATACCAAATGACTTCCTTATTGAATAGATCCACTCACAACTCAGTCCTAATGTTAGAAAATATGTTTGAGACAAACCTCAAACTACAACATGAGGGATTATTACTAATGCCTATAAAAAATATTTACATTCAGGGAAACTGAGCAACTATTATACATGAGCAAGATTCCTTCTCTCAAAAGAGCTTATAATGTCGCAAGTAGATGTAACAATTGTAGCATGTGGTTAGCACCATCATGAAGACTACAGTGAAGAATCACAAAAGTTTATGCTCATAGAAGTCAAGCCCTAAAAGACTGAGAGGATCATCAAATATAGAAAGAACTTCCTGGGTGTTCTCAGAAGCAGTGACAGCACAAGACAAGAGGGGGCATTCGAATGTTGCCCCCAGATCTTCTGGCATGTTTGACTAGAAAAAAAGGTGGCACCTTTAACCAAAATTGCTCCAAGAGAAAGGTAAAAAATATTATAACTAACTTCATCTAGGGCAAAATGTCAAGTAGGTAGTTCAAAGATCTAGAATTTTGGGCCAGATGTATAACAGGACATTGAGATAAAATAGAAACCCTAGGGATGAGATTATGAAGCATTCTGAAGACAGAACCTGAGAGAGCACATTTGTACATATATTTCAAATACTGGTAAGAGTGATGTGACTGCATTCACAGTTATGGCAGAGGATACTATCTTCAAGGTGTATGTGGGGGCACTGTCCAGGAAAGGATGCTCAATGGTGTAAATGTTGCAGACAGAGGAAGATAAAAATGCAGGCTGAAAAAAAATCATTTAATTCACTAATTGGGGGCCCATTGAGAACAGTTTCAGTGCAGTGCTGTGTAAAGCAGACTGCAAGGTGCCGAGCACTGAGCAGTGAGGATGTGGGGTAATGGATAAGGATCTCTCCAAGAAGTCTGGCAGTGTGAAAAAGGCTAGAGAAACCAGCAGGCTCAGAGAGAACTTTTTACACTGGAGGATACATGAGCATTCTGAAGACAAAAAGGAAACAGCATACAATTGTTTGCATAATTTTATGTTATGCACTAAAAAATTATTTTTAATCTTTTTCAAAAAACATTTTCTTCAACAAAAATTAAATTATATGCATTTACCATATAAACTTAAAAGCACTAGCATTTTATAAATCTTATATCTAAAAGAGCTGCACAGTTCTTCATTAGACTTCAGAATTTTGCTTCTAGCCTAGCATAAGAATTTAAACTTAACAACTGCTACTTTAGTTCCAGAAAGATAACTCTGATATAAAGGATTACACTTAAGTAATTGTGTATGCCTTCTTCCCCAGCCTCCTCCTCCAAAACAAAGTATCTGCAGGGTAGTTAATAATTTGAATAACATTTTTTCAAGTTGAAATAGAGAAAAATTAGAAACAGTATTCCCATTACTTGTAAGTTCTTAAAGACCTAAACTGTTCTTAACAATTAATTTTTCATGATAAAACATGCTTATTTATTATATACACATGCTTATATATGAATCTTCAGGCTAAAACACATGCAACCAACTTGAAAAAACAAGTATTAAACCATCCTCACAATCCTAAGAATGCCCTTTTTAATAAGGCACTCATGTTTGGAAATAGGATATAACCACCAAATTAAATACGATGTTTAAAAGAAGCCTTTTATTAAGCACAAACAACTTTTAATACATTATCATTACAAATAGGAAAATGTCTTTCAAAGACTGATATATCAAATATCTGAATGTTTTCTTCATACTGACACAATAAAAATAATCAATTTTGAAGAAAAATTAAAAAGTAAAATTTTGAGGACACCACTGTTTACTAATAACCATTTTACTATAGTCTAAATTTATTACATCACCTGGGGAGGAAGGGCAATTATTTTTATATAGAGAATTCCTAAACTCTTATTAGCACCACTCAAAGCTTATTATCAGTTGTTCATCTACAAACTGACAGATCAGGTAAAGCTTTAAAGCAGGTTTTCAGTGCAATGTTTATAGTTCCTTCTTTTAAGATACTTGGAGTCTATGGTCTCAAAGCATGTTAAATAATTATGCCTTGGTAGTTGCAAGGTGTTAACATGTAGAGAGAAATGTATAATGGAAAGAAATGAGGCTTATCTTGGCTGTGAAATGTATCTTAATGTATTGTGGCTAATGCTGCAGTATGCCGATGACATGCAGGATTATTGTGAACGCAGATCTGTGGGAAGCTGGTTGCCATTAGCTCTCTGTGGTCATCATTTCAGGATGTCTCAGCTGCTGTCTTTTGAGACTAACTAGTTTCATCCTGTCTCTGATGTGTTCTGCAGTAGAAGCCATGTCACTTGGACTCCCAAAATACTGTTCAGTTCTAAAAATCAAAACAAAGAGAAAAACCCCATTCACATTAATACAGATCCACTGACCACAGCAAATACAAAAGGAAGCAAAAAATTAGCATAAAAATTACCTCTGTGATAAGCCATTAGTTCATTTGTAGATCATACTGTTTATCTTTGAGTAGTAATTCAGTAGGAGGAACATTTTTTAAACGGCATAAAATATATTAAAAAATGTCAAGACAAGTATATTAGTGGTATAAATGTCATATTAAGTGTACTTAGGATAATCTCAATAATGTAACCAAGCTATGCAAATATCAATGAAACACTGATATTTTTGTTTTTCAATATGGGGTCCACAGCACACACAAATCCAAAGTTTGTGTACTTCAGTGCTAAGGACTATTTACACTCACTTCTAATATAGTTACCAAATGAATATCCATTTAATGTTAAGGTATCATTTCGGACATAGAAAAATCATTTAATTTTATCCTACCTGCAAAGATTCTGTTTTCAGAGTCACAGAATCTTTTAGAGGTAGAAGAATTCTTGAAAATTATCTGTTTAAGCTTTTCATTTTTTAGATCAGAAAAGGGAAGTGTAGAAAATTAAGTGGCTTAACTAAGATCACACAGTGGAAAAACTAAGATCTGAACCTGGGTCTTTAAGCGATGACTCCAGAAAAAACATTTTTTAAATATTTTCCCAAGAGAATGTTACAAAAGATGAATCTGAATAATTTTACCATCAAACAGATTTTATATGACACAAATTATTGTATGAAATGGAATAAAAATTCCAATTATTAAAGGTGTGGTTATCAAATTTGAATAATACAGAATTAACTTATTTTATCTTAAAAGGATGAGGAAATGACACACAAACTATTTGTAGAACAGGAGGAGAAGCTCAAGCAAAAAACACCAGGGAAAGATATTTCCAGGCTGACCTGAGTAGAAGGGAGACTGGCAGACAATTGGCTGTGAAATGCAATCATAGGGGTTGGGGAGGGCTGGGTGTTCTGGCCTGGAACAACCAGAAGCAGCACACTAATACTGTTACTAGCTCAACTTACAATTTTAAGATTTATTCTCTTGCATACATTGCAGATGTATAACATGACTATAGGCTCTGACTGTTCAAGTTTAGGTACGACTAGTAATTATCTCTATATTAGACTATGAATAATATTCGTTCAAGAGAATAAAATATATCTTTTCAATATCAATTCCAAATAAGCATTTGATATGCATGACACAGCAATAGTTGCACTATGTGTCAGCTTTAAGTAGTTTATATACATTTACCTCATATGATTCCCCTGCACCTATAATCTGAGGAGGTATGAATCCTATATCTAGATGAGAAAATTGAGGCACAGGAAAGGTTAAGTGGCTAGACCAAAGTATCACAGCAACTAAGTGGTGGTGCTGATATTTAAATCCAAGACAACTGGTTAGAATCCACAATCCTAACCATTGTACTATACTAAAATGTAAGGATAGATGTATTCAATGGTCTGGTTTCCCTATCGTTTGAATGAAATATCCTCTTGATTACCTCTAAATCATCTTCACTGAGAAGGTCTAAATGCTCAGGGTAAAACTCTTTCTGATTCATTTACTGGCCCATTTATTTGCATGAGATTATTTCATATCTTTATCATCGACTGTTTGAAATGAAAAGAAACATGGAATCAGGTACTGCACACAGCACAGTGAAAAGAGAATGGGTTTGGAGCCAGAAAGATCTGACTTTGTATCCTAATTCCACTTAGAAGCTGTGAAATCCTGAACACCTTATTCCATTTTTTCGAGCCTCAGTTTCTTCATCTGTAAATCAGAAATAATCACACTAGCCTGGCACTGTCTGGCCAAAGTAATGAAGGGGAAGTGTTTAACTAGGTGCCGGGCATATACTGAGCTCACTAAACATTAGTCCCTCCCCCTTCCCTGAATGATGCTCAAGGTCACCCTAGTACCTATCATCATAGTCAAGGCTAGAACCCAGGATGTCAACCTAGTCAATGATCCTTCTTCTACAACAAGCTGTGAAGAAGCAACACATTTGATGGCAGCAAGTATCAAGTGCTACTGCTGCTAAGAGCCGAGTTCAGATTTCGTTTCATTTTAAACCAGTTTATTGTAGGAATTGAAAATGTGGACCAAAGCTAATTGACTTGGCTTTTAAAACAAACAGGTTTTCCTCTTAATGAATTCACTGATAAAAAGACCTCACAGATTAAAAGATCTTATATAATAAAAGCCTATTATGCTAAGTGTCCTTAGTCCATTCAACCAATCAAAGCGTAATATGCTAATGATATGCTAAGGTCGCTCAACCGCTCACTATGACGTGCACTGATCACCAGGGAGCAGACACTCGACTGGTAGGTTAGCTTGCTGATGGGGTCCGGCAGATCGGGACTGAGCGAGACAGGCTGGACATGCCCTGGAGCCCTCCTGCGGTCCCTCCTCGACTGGCCAACCTCCTGTATCCCTCCCCGGCTACGATCATGCACCGGCGGGGTCCCTCAGCTTGACCTGTGCCCTCTTGCAATCCGGGCTGAGCCCACCCCTAGTGAGTGCAGGAATTTCGTGCACCGGGCCTCTAGTAAAATTATAAGAACATGCACCATACCCATCAGGATAAACTACAGGAACAGTTAATCTATCCAAAAGTGATTTCCCAACTGCTTCAATTTCATCAAATTGCTCCTCATCATTAATAGCTTCAGGCTCTTCTGGACAGTCTTGCAAAATCTGCAACAAATAAAAGGGCAACATCAAGAGAGAAAAAGGAAATAAATCTCAAACACATTTAGCAGATTGAAGGTGTTTATATCTTGTTTTATTTTAGCATCTTCATGTACACCATTGTGAAAAATTTATTTTTGACAAAACTGCCTCAAAAAATTCAAACAAAATGAGATACATAATCCCTACTAACATAACTGGAATATGAAAAAGATCAATAGTGATTCCTGAGGGGGGGGAGGGGGGAATACTAGAAAACTATTTGTACTTAAGAAGTATTATTTCATTCAATAAGTAACAATTTATTGAACACTTATTATATGTTTCCTTAGTGCTTGGGATGTAAATGAGATAAAGATTTTGACCTCCAGATTTTACAGACTTCAGAAATGAAAAATTATATAAATGCAAAACAACATATACTCCAAGTACAAGCACATAACTGATTTGATGGCCTAATTACACCATTTATAGTTATTTTAAAAACTGATCTGCTGAGTTAACTGATGTAAGCTGCTATGGTTATAATTCAAATATAGGGAAGTTCTACAACCCTTGTAAAGATATTATTTGTTTCTCCTTAACTATTACCATTTAAATTTAACTCCAAAAAAAACCTCGAAAAATTTGAGGAAGGAAAAAGAAAAAGTACTTATTTTTGCAACATACTTCACTTAATCCAATTATGTTTATTTCATTGTAGCTCATAAAGAACATATTTATAGTCTAAAATTCTAGACTTAATTTAAATATTTTTCCAATCATACTGTACAATTTGCTTATAGTTATTATATTTACGCTTACTGGTATAAAACAGAACACAGTCAAAAGGAAAAGGTTTCACCATAGGTTTGCACAGCAAAATAACCTTAAATCAAGTTTATTATAAGTATGATAAAGGCCATGAAGTAGAAGTAGAAATGTTAATTTTCTATTATAGCCAATGAAAAATAAACAGTTGGTTATTTAATATGAATATATATATATTCTTATACGACTTCTTAAAGTGGTCTAGATTTTAAAATGCCTTTGCTGATTCCTTTAAAAACAGCATCCTAAAAAGTTTTCAGTGGTGTTAGAATAGGGCCAGTGGTCACCTTGGAGAGGGGGAGGGGCAGCAAAAGCAGCGTGGCTAGAAAGGAGTGGGGAGCCTCTGAGGTGCTGGTAGCATTCTGTTGTTTGAACAGTGCACTGATTGGACAGGTGTGCTCATCTTGTTAAAATTAATGATTTATGATCTGTATATTATGTTAATATTATACTCGAATAAAAAGTTTTCATTAAAATAATCAGTAGATAAGCAAGTTAAGCCATTTTGCATACTTTCATTCATTATCATTAGGCCCCTTAAACACTGCCCTGTGTGTGGAGTTCAGTGACCAGGTCAGAAAGAGTTTACTATGAACATCTCCCAACAAATGTACTTCATAACACAGACAGAAACTGCTTAGTTCCTGAGGTTTCTGGAAACATTTCTTTTGTTCGACAGACAAGGCTATCACATTTAAAACTTTGATTTCTCCTACTTTAAATTGTACTAAACATCCCCTATATATAAACTTTCATTGTAAGAGATCAAAACAAAGCTAACTACATAATCAAGTTCCTCTTCAGAATGGAAATGCAAAGCTCAGGTGATACACATTTTCACTGTGCCGAGTTAAGAAAAAAGTTCTATGAAAACCTGCCCAATAACACTGCATATTCATTTCTGGTTTCTGAGACTAAATAATTCAGTAAATAATAAATTCTAGAATTACTTTTTAAAAGATGACACATAAAAATATGTTCTGCCTGGCCAGTGTGGCTAAGTGGTTGAGCTTCGATCTATGAACCAGGAGGTCACGGTTCCATTCCCAGTAAGAGCACATTCCTGGGTTGCAGGCTTGGTCCCCAGTGGGGGGTGTGCATGAGGCAGCTGATCAATGATTCTCTCTCATCACTAATGTTTCTTTCTCTCTCTCTTTTCTCTTCCTCTATGAAATCAATAAAAATGTTTTTCTAAAAAAGTTGTAATTTTTATCCTTATTCTCATTTTAGTTGGACAGACTCTAAACATTAAAAAATTAAAAAGTACCCTTTTGAATAATTTATGATAATTTATAGGAGGTACCAAAGCAAAGTTTCCTTTCTTGGCATATGAATGAGATGGGAGTCATGACCTCCTAAAGAATGGACAGCACATTATGGGAAGTAGGTACAGTGAGAAGAGTAGCACTGTGGACAGAAAACCACTGAATGGTTTTGAATTTCTCCAACCATGATACTCCACCACTGGTACCAATTACTAAGAGAATTTGATTTCAACTCTCTGAGATAATATATCTAAACAAACTTTAAATAACAGAATATCAATTTTTTTAAAACCAGACTAAGCACATATTACATTAAGATTAACATATTTTAAACATACACAATAAATACTATTGTGACCACATTTTTAAAAAAGCAAACCTTTTCGGTATTTGAGTGGAATGCAATAGCCATTTCCAGCCTATGTACTCTCTCTTCAGATGCTATCGTAAATTGCTTCCATACTCTGTTCAGTCGAGGAAGTGTATCCCCAGATGACCGAGAAGTGCAGCGCAAAGATTGGCACAACACAACGGTGGCCTGTAGCAACTGTCTTCCATAGTCATAAGTGCTCTAAAAAAAAGTAAACATGGAATTATAATAAAAGAATTCTGAAAAGAGGGATGGGAAAGCATGCAGGAGGACTGTGGTTGCCATTAAGTGACAATCCTGGAAATCAGTACTGAATGACTCCACTGGCACTTACTACAAATAATTGACATGCATAAATAATGCAGGGGAAGCAATACTTTTAGTTCATTTTCAGTAAGTTTCTTTCTTATTCTGTTTTCCCCATCTCAGTCGGCTCAATTGCACAGGCCAAAAAGAATGTCTGTTCAGTCTTTAATCGAGACAAGTGGGTAAAAACAGGCACTTTGTATTCCACAGAGGAAACCACAACTGTTACACGGTAAATTCAATTATTAGGGAAATTAATTAAGACACATTTGACAACAACAAAAAAATCTGTGTTGTAATGTTAATGCTGGTGAGATACAGCATTAACATATATTTTGTATTAACTTTCATGAAGAGTTGGATTGCCAAAAAAATCCTATAATATATAACATAAATCACAGAAGGCATACAGAACCTGTATTCGGGAAAACATAAACCCTCACAAGTTTGTGCAGGCTAGTTTGGATGCACCAGCTGACATGTTCTTAGTTCTGTGATATTTCTGGAATAACATAACTAACCTTCTGGGACTTGGAGGGTTAAGTTACATTATAATCATGCAGAAAGCTATTCAAACACTGAGCTTGTAGGAAAGGAAGATAATCAGTTCTGCACCTGTGCGACATCAACAAATTTTCTATGCTTTTCCAGTAAAACTTTCGTTTCCTGGGCATCATCGCCCAATCTGATGTGGGTCTTAAGCAGAGCATCCAGAAGTTCACTTAGCCATTCTACTGCCTAAATGAAAAGAAAGAACAGTGAAGCTGGATTCATAAGTCTTTACTTATTATATCAAAATATCATATTTATAAGAAAAATCATATCATGTGATTGATTAATCTATTAGTTATAACCTAAGTTCCTAATAGCTTAGTTCATTCAATGACAAACTACATGAATTAATGACCTTGCCTCCTACTCAATATTTTTAAAAATCTAAAGACAATGCCTATTAAAGGGAAGCACTCTTTTAAAATTATCACATGATTTGTAATAGATTACATACATATAGATCTTAATGAAATCTCTTTATATTATGATTTTATGTTACCATTTAAAATCACAAATTTCCTCTACGCCAAGCTGAGATGATGTACTCTGATGCTAAATACAAAAAGATAGCAAATTGTTTGCCTAGTTGAAAAACCCTCTTGTAGTTAAAAAGCAGTGTGTTAACCAGCCTTTATCCTGGGATATAACTGGTAACAGATGAATAATAAATAATACCTAGTCCCAATTTCTAGCTCAATAGAGGATTTCATTAAGGTAAATCAAATGAGATCAAATAAGATAACTGGGAATACAAAACTTTATTATTTCAAGTTTAAACTAGAATCTGACCTCATGTTACCTTCTTAGGACCATAAAAAAGTTGTGTATAGTTGGATGAAATCAATCTTCTGAGAAAAAAAAACCAACTAAATAATGTGCCAACTGATCCTTACCTGGGCAGCATCTTCTTCACATTTAAACAACTGCACCATTTGAAGCATCTTTAACCTTCGCACATCTACCATGTCTTCACATCTAATAAACCCAAACATAAATTTAGAACATTTTGGTATTGTTGATAACTATTATAGCACACACATATTATAGTATACTAAAATACCTAATCCAACATTATGGAGATTGCAACTATTTTGTATTAATTTATAAGAACTTTAAGGATAACTATATGTATATCACATCAAAACCTCGAAATACCTGAATGATACTGAATCATCAACTCTCATGAGAATAGCATGGATTCTGCAGAGTACTGAAGCAAAGCATAAATGCAGTAGCACACTAAAACCCAAAGAAATCTCCATTGCCAATTATCATTAAACTAGCTTCAAAGATAAAAATGCAGTTTCTCAAATACTAATTTAGAAGATGATGTTCAAGGAAATAAAAAAAGTAACACTTTTCATTGTGTTACATTACTCAGAGTAATAAGTAATTTTGAATAAAAGAAACACAAAAACTCTACCTATATTCTTAAGAAGAAAAAAAAAACGCTAAAGCTCTCTGGGTGCAGAGAAACACAACACAGTGTATTTTTAAATTTACTAAGGTCTGGATAATATACAGCCTAAACTTTTAAGGTGACTTGACCTAAGTCAGCTCTGATCCATTCCCTTCATTCCCATGCAATTTTATGTACTTTAGGTGGGAAGGAGAAGTCTCATTGCAATACCAAATACCAATAACTAGTTAACTAGGAGACCCTGGGCTCCACTACAGTTGATGTTCTAAAAGAAGGCTTAATAACAATACAGATGTCATTGTCACAAGGCAATTTTTATAAAGATGCCTTCAAAAATCACACAGCAAGCTGTTAAAATGCAACTTGGTTAAAGTAAAATTCTACAAAGGACTGAAGGAAAGTGATGCTAATTATTTCTAAAATCTGAAGTTACATTACAATGTAAGACACTTTAAAGATGAAGATGATGACATACATGTATTCAACACATTGTCAGGAATTGAGTAATGTGCTTGAAAAAATCAAGACGTGGTCTCTTGTATTAAGATGGGCCCATCTGAGGAGTTGGATGTTTACATAAACAATGTGATAAATGTTAGTGTAGAGCCATGTAAAGGATTCATGGGAGTATGGAGGAACAAGTGATTAACTTGTCTTAGAAATCTAAAAAGGATTGCAAGGATAAGCACCTTAAAAAAAGGAGGGAATCCAGTAGGCAGAAAATGAGTCACGGACGCATGAAACAGCATGAGGTATTCAGGAAATGAAAACAACCATGTGATTTTGGGGAAAGTTACAGGAGATGAGACTATGCAGGACTGGATTATGACCTCCTACACAATTCCAAGGAGATAGAACTTCATCTGAGAAAGCAGGAAGTCACTTAGAGAGAGAGATTTTATATAAGGTAATTGTGTAATTAGAAGTGCACTTTACAAACATTACTCTGTGTACAACCACAGATAGAGAACAGAAATCTTGAACAAAGAAATGTTTAGGATAACAAAACAGCAAAACGTTGACATTTGATGAGGCTGTAGGGATGAGGAAGAGTAAAAATTTTAGAATACACCCAAAGTTTGGTAGCCACTGGCAATTTTAACCTAGATAGGAAATTAAAGGAGAGGAGCAATTTGGGGCGGATGATTCCAACCTGGACACATTGGTTTGACGAGTGTATGGGGCATCCAGGTGGAGATCCTCAGCAGGCAAGTGGAATTATGGGTCTAAAGCACAGGAGAGTGGTTTGTGTCAGAGCAATAACCACTCAATCATGATATTAAAGAAGGTCGTTCAAGTAGTGAGACTGTCCAGGGAGAACACAGACTGAGAGGAAATCTGGCTTCAGAACAAACCCTGGAAGCAGTGACATGAGCAGGAGGACAAAGAAACTGAAAACTGAGAAGAAACAGAGTGCCAGGAGGAGTACCAACAGGGTGTTTTCAAAGAAGACAAGGTTGTCCGGGAGTTTCAAGAAGAAAGAAAAATTCAGCTGTGTCTAAGGCTATTCAGAGTGGGTAAGCAAGGTCAGGACTAAAAGTATTCCTGCATTTTGAGCAAGATCAAGCATTTATTATAGACTAGAGGCCCGATGCACAAAATTCATGCAAGAGCAGGCCTTTGCAGCCGCAGTGGCTGTCTTGATCCCAGTTGTCCGGAAGGACGTCTGGTCTAATTAGCATATTATGCTTTTATTATTATAGATGGTAATTAAAAAGTCATTGTAGACATCAATAAGAGCAGATTTAGTGAAATGGTAAGAGAACCCAGACTGCAGAAGGTTGAAAAGTAAATTGGAGAAAGTGAGACAGTAAAATGAGTGTAGATTAGATCTTCAAATGACTTCACTTTCAGGAAGGAGTGCTCTAGAGCTAGAAGACAAAGAAAGAGTTGAAGAGGAAGGTGTGTGATTCTTTACATTTTTTAAAATAGGAGATATTTAAGCAAATAAATGAGGGACAGGAATCAGAGTAGAAAACGGGAATTGATGGAATGAGGAGACATGAGGGTACATGGAAGGATCGGCTTTGATAAGAGCAGGGCTGTCATCCTTTGGGAGGAGAATGAATAGTGAAACAGATAAATTTACAGATATGAGGGTAGAGGGAATTTTTGTCTGGTGAATGTTTTCTCTAAGATGTAAGGGGAGAGTTTCTGTAGGTTTTCTTGACTTTAAAATTTCTAGGTGTACAAAAATTTCTAGATGATTAGATTAATCTATGTATATATATGCATAGAATAATCAGGTTCGATTCCGGTCAAGGGCATGTACCTGAGTTGCGGGCACATCCCCAGTAGGAGATGTGCAGGAGGCAGCTGATCGATGTTTCTCTCTCATCGATGTTTCTAACCCTCTATCTCTCTCCCTTCCTCTCTGTAAAAAATCAATAAAATATATTTGACTTTAAAATTTCTAGGTGTACAAAAATTTCTAGATGATTAGATTAATCTATGTATATATATGCATAGAATAATCTAATCTATTAGTTCGAAACACAGTTGGCTCTTATCTGTGGGTTCTGCATCCATGGATTCACCAACCATGGATTGAAAATATTCAGAAAAGTGATGTAGTTGCTTACATGACTATGTAGTGAAAATTATGGTGATTTATTAGGGATGAAGAACCTATTTTAGTGCCCTCACTCATTGGTTTTCATGAAGTGTTCTGTAAATGGAAAAGCATTTGTCATTTTTTGACAGTTTCAGAAAAAATAGAGAACAAGTGTAAGATGCAGAGTTTAACATGAAAATATTCACAAAAAAATATCTTACATTGCTGCTGATTTGTGCTATGGAGTAAGATCTACGACAGTTGCATCCGTACTGAACATGTATAGACTTTTTTTCTGGTTATTATTCCCTAAATAATAGAGTATAACAACTATTTACCTACCATTTACATTGTATTAGGTATTATAATATAGAGATGCTTTAAAGTATACAGGAGGATGTGCTTAGGTTATATGCAAATACAACACCACTTTATATAAAGGATCTGAGCATCCGTGAATTTTCCTATCTGTGGGGGTCCTGGAACCAATGCCCCTGGATGCACAGGGACAACTATAACTTGCAGTTGCTATTATAAATTGAGTTTTCAAAGAAGCCTTTAAATTCCTAATTCTGTATCAAATGAAACTAAACATCATTTTACCCTCACCCATCATCTTACTTTAACAAACATTAATCAATAGTTAATCCTTTTACAGCAAATATGAGAAAAATGGATGTATGATAATTTGTTAGTAAGAAGTTTAGATGAAGAAACAGATCAGTTTAGATGACATTTAACATCAACTAAACCAAATGAAAATTGAAAAGCAAAATTCTCCAAAAAGGGTTTTCTTAAAAAGACAAAAGAGTCAGAAGCTACACTGGAAATAGGTATAAAAAGTATTTCAGTGTAATCGAAATTTTTACTACTGAGTAAAAGGAAAAAGTACCCATTCATTAATTGAACAAATTGCCATTATGTGTTAGTATAATTACATACAGTAATTATTACAGTCACAAAAAAACTTACTACATGCCTACTATATAAACAGGTAAAAACTTTTAGTTTGAATAAAAAATATAAATTATATCATTTTTCATTTTAATTAATATGTTGTCTTAGCAAAAATTAACATAAGTAGTCAAACTTTGCCTTTGTTTCCTAAGCTGCATATCTTCCATCACTCCTTGTATGTGGTCCACATTTTCTTTATTTTCAATGGTTACATCCTTTCCATATGCCCAGGATGCCTGATTGGAGATCTGATCCAGAAGACCTTGACCTTTTTCACGCAAACCTTGCAATCCTACATCTAAAACAAAAGTTGCTAGATTTAGTTTCTTAAACAAAGGAAGTGCTTTCCCTCCCTCAAGTAAACCCTTGCAGCAGATACTGCACATGAATTCCAAGTATAACAGTTTGTATATTAAACTATCCTTGGATGGAGTCCTCTGAACATTTCAAGCAATAAAACCCCTTTAAATGTGACTCAGACTGAAATTCTCCCTCCACCCTCCTAATGCCAAATTGTCCTTAAAGAGAATTTCCAAAGGGCTAATTTCCATAGATAATAATTAATTTTTAAAACTGAAAGCAGTAAATGTGAGAATTACTGTTTTGATCAGTAAGGGTTTTCAATTTTTTCCTTTCTGCTTTTACATAGTCCAATTTTTTTTAGAACAAGGCAAATGTTTTGTTCAAAAAAAGGTATGAGTTGCAAGACTTCAAATCACTGAAGCAATGTCAAAGGATGCTAAACATTCTGAGTTTAGGTACTACCTAGTTTATACCCAACAAGAAGCAACACTTAGGATGTTTGCAATACTCCAAAGTATACAGGAATTTCTTTTCTTTTTTCTTTTTTTTTTAAAAAGTGTGGCTTAAGAAATTTTCTGACATTTTCAAATAAATTTCATTTGGCATATTAAATACTACATGTGTATTATGCATATCATTTGCTACAATGACAAAGGCTCAAACAAGTAAAATGCCAATACAAACATGATTTTTCAAATCCTTTTCAAAAAGTAATTAATTTGGTCCAATCACGTGTTACCATTTTCTATTAAATCTCTGCCCTCGGTTTCTGCTGCTTCTCCTATATCACCTTTGTCCTCCTGTCCCCCTCAACCCATCCCCACTTTCCATTTTTGCATCTACTGTCTACCTCTCCAGTCATGACCTAGGGAAAGTCATTGTATTTATATCTCTACTAGATTTTTAAAGGCTTTGATGACAAGTGAGAGAACTAGCTTAATGAGATTGGATCTCATTAAGGCTTAGAGAGTATGTAATCTTGGCAATATTTCCAGTTTGGAGAAACAAATTCACAGAACCAAACCAAGTATGTTTTTACAGGTTAGGATATAGCAACAACAAAAATCATTGCATAAAACAACAGTTTGGGGCATACAGGGTTTACCACAGAACACTTCACAGCTAATTACAGTTTATGCATGCACTACAAATAACTGTTCATAAGGATATGCAAGACATAGCACCTGTAGATATAGCTGGGTAAATAAGAAAGGCTAACGGTCCAATGAAGGAAGTGATTGACCAACAATAAAAAAAAATAAAAATTTTAGCATAAATTACATCCTTCAAGAGAACATAAAACCTTTTTTATAGTCATTTTTCCTGTAAATAATTATTAATTCAGTATATGCTGACTTGTGTAACCATGGTAATATTTTTTTAAAAGAACCCTTATGTTTCAGCATTTTTAAAATCTGCTTACCAACACTTTTCAGCTTCTCTTCAAGCAGTTTTAAAGTTTGCTGAATCGATGCTCCATCAGCTGGTGCTACATCTACGCACAACATCCCTAATAAGCCATCCAACTGCTGAGACAACTAAAGCAGAGGGACACCAAAGAGATAACCCTGATGTAATCAGCATCTAAAGTGTTTAATGGTTAATGAGGTTTATATCTAATGAGGTTATCACAATTATACTTGAAAAAAGACTATGCTGTTAAAAGACAAGAACGCATAATTAGAATACATGTTATCTGGAAGACAGAACACACAGATGCATGCACCAGGAAGACAAAGAAATATATCCAGGTCAGCAGAATGTACAAAAGTAATGAAACTTCCATTTCATTCTATGTTATAAAGCATAAACATTGAGAAACAATAAAAACAAAATATATCTACTAGTTGGGACACTCTATGTAGACAAAAAAAGTTTAGGTGCATGCAGATTGACTTAAAAAAAATCAAAGATTTTTATCTCATTTCCCCCACCAGTACATTATTTTACTGTTCCAGGAAAATAATTAGGAGACATGCAAACCTGCAAAAATTATGTGCAGATAAGTAATCAGATCGTTTGAAGAGAAGAAAAGCATTAAGAGTAGATACTTACATCTTGGGCAACCCCATGAAATTCAAGGGCTGCTTGTAAGAGATTTTGCCTAAATTCCAGCTGACTGGCCTGTCGATAGCAAACATCACTAAGTTGTTGCTGCAGGGACTTCAGCTCCACAAGATCTTCCTCATCCCCAGCATTTAAGAGTGCTGCAATTTGCTGATTAAGCTCCACATACACTGCGAACCATTCCTGTAATAGAGACATTGCAAAGTAAATTAAGGATAAAATTAGTTTATGGAGACCTACATGACATTTAATAATTTCTCCATATACACTAATAAACAAAAGAATTTTCTTAGGCAAAATCATTTAAATTAAGAAGAAAAGTCTCCAATCCCCAAATCCTTCCACTGCAATCCCTGGAACACACTCCTGCCAAGAACAAAATCTCCTCTAGCCTTAGCCTGGCCTGTTTCCTTCTCTTTCTTGCTTTACATGACACCTGTCCACCCTCCGAAAAGGCAGTTAGCCCTGCAGCCCTCCTAACTAACTGCTGTTTTTGTTTTCACAGCTGACATCCCACAATCCTAGAGGTGGAGAGGAGGGATGGCTGCCTCAGGCCCCATTTCTATTTCCAGACCATTTCTTCTCCCTCTTCTCTCAAAAACTACATCTCCTTTGAAGTGCATGCTGTCAGATTACATCTTTCCAACCTTTGTTGTCGCATGCCCTCATCCAGGGAGTTTAGTAAAAGTCACTGCCTTCCTCTCAGCGTCAGCTTTCTTACTGACTTCCACCACGTAGGCGTTTACCCAACATTGAACTCCCAGTTCCTTGACTCCCTCCCTCATTCCCAACTATTCTGTCCTCACCTGGCCTCAGCTAACCACTCAAATGGACATAAAAGCCTGTCATTATATAACAGCTCCCCAAATCTCAATTTACAGAATCCCATTCTCTGACCACCAGCTACTGACTCTCCAATTCAGATCCTTTAGAATGCTCACACCTACAAACCCATAGGGTCTACCAATCTGTTCACCTCAGCATGTTACACTGTCCAGCACTCAAGAGCTTTGTGTCCTCACTTCTGTCTCTGACCAGAGGGCTCTCCTTTCTTTCGTCAGAGTCACCTGTCAAACCTCAGACCTGCTGTCCTTGCCTACTGTACCTCCAGGAGAGTAGCTGAATATGGCTAAATAAAAATTATATGGATAGGTCTTTTAAGAATTATTACTAAATGGGCCTTTAGCAATTCTATTACATTTCTCTAGTCAATTCACCTTCCCATTCTCATGAATATCTTTAACTCCTTAAATCTCCAACTTCCTTTACATCTCTTTACCCCAAACCAAAAATCTAACTTCTTAATTCACTAGGCAGCAATCAGATGAGAAGTCTCTCATCTCATCAACAAATCTATGACCTTCCTTGTAACCTTATACTTTGCCCTTCCAAATGTAATAACGAATGAACTGTCTCTGCTTCTAAGACCAGCCACTTCACTTGTGTGCTATATGCTATCTCTATTGCCTTTACAAGGCTTTGCTCTTGGAATTAATTATCTTCTTTTTCTCTTTCCCATCATCATCATCTTTTTCAATTACATTATTTCCATTAGCATACAAATAACATATCTTATATTAAAAAACAAAACATACATTCAAAATATGTGCATTTTGTTATATATAAAGCTCCATTTAAAAAATCCACAAATCCCCCTGAAAGAAGTTCTCTATACTTATTCTATCATTTCCTGTTCTCTTTTTAATCTACTCTGATCAGAATTTTGTGCTTCCCACTCTTGTCAAATTATCAGTCTATCTTACTGGACTTCTCAGCTGCATTTGACAAAGACAACCAATTCCTCCTCCTTGAAGGGCCTTTTTCTCATTTCCTGAGACACACAGCTCCTTTTGGCTTCCTCCGCAGGCTCTCCTTTCTCTCTTGACCTTTACATTTAGGAGTGACATGGGTGTCCAAAGGCTTTTTGCTTCTAAATCAATATTCATTGGGTTTGGATGATTTCATATAGTCCCATGCCTTTAAATAACACCAATAGGCTTACAACTCCCAACGCCTGACCCCACTCCTAAATTATACACACTGATAGGCAACCGTCTACTAATGATCTTCATTCAGGTGACTTTTAGATATCCAAAATTTAACTTGTCCCCAAAGATACTGATTTCCAGCCTCCCAACCTGCTTCTCTCCCAGTCTTCCCCACTTAATAGTAGCTAAAGCCAAACATATAATTCTTAATCCAAGAGCAAGTCTTGCTGGCTTAACCCATGAATCTGACAATTTCTCATTACTTATAATGCCTCCATTCTGTTAGCCTCCTGCCTTCCTATTTCATTTTTTGTCTCTACTCCCTGTTCTCCATACAACAGCCAGTGATCTTTTAAAAAAATATAAATCAATTCTCAGCTAATAAATTTATGTTTAGCTTTATTTGTGAATTATGCTCTTAGGAAGAATCTAAAACTTAATACTTGACAAAGTGTTTTAATACAAAAATGGTATGTTAAAAGTTTCTCCAAATTCTACTCCTATTAACCAATCAATATACTAGAAATTTGACTTTCATGAGACCTGAAAAATTCCAATACATGCTTTAAAGTGTTCACTTTTATTTACAAAGAGACAAGAAAGCTTTTAATAAAATGTTAGACTACCTTAAACATCATAATAATATGTTCATCCGGCATCAACCTATTCTCAAGGTGAAATGCAGTGCCATCTATTGGTTAAAATGGTGCAATTCTCTTTTGCAAACCTTTTAGAATGAAAAATTTCAAATCTATTCAAAAGTAGAAAGTAGTTGGCCCTTCAACAACACAGGATTTGAATTGCATGGGTCCACTTATACATGGATTTTTTTTTTCAATAAATACTCTAAGTGTATTTTCTCTTATGATTTTCTTAATAAACATTTTCTTTTCTCTAGCTCAGTGGTTGGCAAACTGCGGCCCGTTGAGTGTGGCTCTTCCACAAAATACCACGTGCGGGCGCACACGTACAGTGCGATTGAAACTTTGTGGCCACACTCAAGGGGCCAAAGAGCTGCATGTGGCTTGCGAGCCACGGTTTGACGACCACGGCTCTAGCTTACTTTATTGTAATACAATATATAAAACATATATAAAATATGTGTTAATCAACTATTTATGTTATTGGTAAGGCTTCCAGCCAACAGTAGACTATTAGTAAATTTTGGTGGGGTTAAAGTTACATGCGATTTTCACAGTAAAGGAGGGAAGAAGGGGGGGGCGGGGTCCATGCCCTAAGCCCTCACTGTCCA